CTGCTCCCTAAAATATCACTGGTTTGCTCATTTCTATATATAGGGTGCCTACATTCTGCATGGACTGGTTGTATTCAACACAAAAAACAGTGACAAAGGACAGCTGGACATATAAAGGGCCCCATTACCTACAGTAGCTCAGTCTCATCAAACCTAAATCCAGCCCTGGGTGTTCCCAGGACTAAGGTGAAACTGTGAAGCTTTCTTGTTCTTTTTCCTATTGGATGCTGCATGTTTTTTTTATGCAGCCTTGTTGTACTTATAGTATTGACCTGTGTCTTTTTTGTATGTTATTATATTTGCTATTGTTTTGCTATGTTACTATGAAATTGTTATTATGCTATTGTTCTGCTATGTTGTGAACTGCCTTGAGATCTACGGATGAAGGTTGGTATATAAATTTAATAAATACAATTAAAATATGATGAGATTGTTTTGTAGTTCTTGTTTGAAATGCATTTCCGTTTTCTCTGTTGTCAGCCGCTTTGAGTACATGTACGGAGAAGAAGCATGCGGATAAAACGATTGAACGAATTCACACTAGAAGTCTAATGCATTTTCACGAGAACTTAAAAAAGCCCCACAAACTGATGCAGAAATGGGGATAAATGAACTCGATTGAAAAAAATGAGAAACTGAAATCGACAGTCACCCAGCCCTACTCCTTACAAGTTATTACGATATAACTGTTCCGTTCTCAGCAATAGAGCTCCTTTCAAGCTCCAGAACTATCTCAGTCTAGTTAAACTATGCTTGCACAATGCCTCACACTTCACTTAAAATTATTAAGTACAAGCCCAATCAATCCAACAGTGCCTTTTGCTATTGACTTCAGAGGAATCAGGACTGAAGCCAAGGGTCCCATTTGCAAATTAATATTCTATATCCTCTGAAACTGATGTCATTCAGGTACTTGAGCCATTAATTATTTTATGCTGTGGAATTTAAATAATATGCATAAGTAACTCTTTTATCCAGTAGTTAACATGGGCAAAACCAAATAAAATCTCAAGTGAATACTGAACTGTGTTGAATAGGTTTTCTCTTATGTAAATTGCGTGGATTTCAACCTAGATGTTTGGAAAAGCCATCATTGGTCAGTGACAAGTCTTACATTTCTGTATGTGTACAGTTTTAAACAGGAATTGAAATTTCCCCTTTAAAAATAAAACCTGGAGCTGCATCAAACCTGCCAAGCTGTTTGTGAGCAACACCCTTATCCTAGCTGGCACAAACTTTGATTTGACGTCAGTCATGGCATATAATGTAATGGCTGCACAACACACTGACGAGAGTGGATGTCCACTCAGATAATTATGCAGATATTCGCAGAAGATACGAAACACTTCTTCCAAAATGTTCTTCGAGTGCCGATGTTGAATATTCTTTGGTTAGTCCAATATTTGCTGCCTATTTGGCATGTGGCCTTGTCATTCAGTGATATGTAATAGTTAGTATTCAATGTAATTGATAATTTATGGTAAATCTTTGGTAAATCCGATTTGCTTGATTGTTTAAGCAATTTCTATCCGGCAGCTTCAAGGCAATGTACAACAATAAAACACCAGAACACCTTAACTGCAGTTCTCTCACCAGCTAGATAATATATACAACCAGAAAGTACAAAGCCATTGGAAAGCCTCAGACACCACTAAAAGCTGCACCCTGAGAGAATTTGTTGTTGGATTCCAGCTCCCTTCAAGCCCCATCCAACATAATCAATTGTCAGGATGATGAGAGCTGTGTAGTCCATCAACGCAGAACATACATTTAAAAAAACCCACAATGGCTTCCAAAACACACAGATAAACCCAGCCGAGAAACACCAGCAAACCAGGAGTGGCAGTAGCAAGGAAGTGTAGCAAGTTAATTGGGTGGCACCATGATTTCTAGGAAAGAGCTACACAGCCCCTTCCGTTGCTGTGGATTCCAGCTCCCATCCACCCCAGCTAGCAAAGCCAATGATCAGGAATGATAGGAGTTCAGAAACCAACAACATCTGGGAGGCACCAAGTTGGAGAAGGCTGGCTTTTGTTATCGAGCTGGATTCAGTAAGATGATTCAGGAGGATTTAAGAAGATGAAGGAAAGAGGAGGACTTGTTTTGCCCCCCCCCCCCAAAAATTGTTCAATGAAAAAGAGAGAGAGTGAGGGAGTGAATGAGTTCAGAGGGGCCCATTCCCCGAAGACAAAAATTGCTGGCAAATTGCTTGAATGTTGATTGTTTCACTGCAAGCCCTTCCCTTGCTACAAGCGATATTAGAGCAATTATGAACACGGCTTCTGGGAGAAAGAAGGAAGGGGGAGGAGGGAAGCAACTCAACAACAACCCATGCAACTCAACCCTTCTGCAAAAAGGTGCTCTCTCTCCACCCCCCCTCCCCACCAAAGTGAGTCTGTTTGGCACATCTGGTTCTCTGAGATGATACATCACACTGGCTCCAAAAGCTATAATCAGACGTTTCAGGGTGTGTAAGCTGGGCACCAGCTATGTGCTGAGATAAGCTTGCACATTCTTTTCTCTCCAGAAGGCAAAGAGGCCCAGAAAACCCCAAGGTAGGTTTGGAAGATGGTGTGTGTGTGTGTGTGTTTGTGTGGAGATCGTCAGAATGAGGAAGCCCCTTTCCATTCAAAGGCTGGGTACTTTTTCCAGCCTTCCTTATTCCCAAGCAAAATACTTTAGAACAAAGGAAAGAGAATTTGTCAGGGTTAATTCTCCTCCTCCTTCCCCCATCCTTTGGAAAAAATGGAAAGAAGACAAGAGAGTCGTACAAGCAGTGTAAGTGTTAATGCCGTTGTCTTGAAAAGGTGATGTTTGTCAGGAATAAATCATCTCTTGCCTTTTAGCTGTGACGATAATTACATGGTGCCGTAACTATCTGCACAAACTGTCAAAGGAAATATATTGTGAGCAAAAGAAGAAGAAAAAAAATAGTAATAATAATAAATACCCTCCAAGCTGGCTAGCAGGGAGAGAGACGTTAAGGTGTCTCAATGCGTCCAGGCACAAAAGAACTTTGTCTGGATTTATGTGGAGACAGGAGCAAAGTGGGGTTTGTTTCATGTCCTTTCTTGTCCATCAGGGAGACACTTAATGCAGTTGTATAAACTTAATGGTTTTTGTTTTTTTTTAATTCAAAGGGAAATTTGAAAAGCCTCAAGGTCTGTGAAACATAGGGGTTGTTTAATCTCTCTCCCCATACCTGACAAAGATATATGGGACAAAATGCTTTCTAAAAAATACCACGAGTTGTACGATCAACATTTCTTAGACATTTGCTGGTTGTTGTTTTTAAACCACCATTACCCCTGTGATTTACATCACATTTTAACTTTGAAAACACTTAACAACCCTTGTCATGTTTCCCTTCACAATGATCCTGTGAAGTAGACAAATGTCCCCCCCACCCCATTCTACAAAATGGAAGTTTAGGCTGCTTACGATGTACCCAGCCCAGCCGACATGTCTGTAATCATAGGTCATTCACTTAAAGAAGGGGAGGGGAAATGTCAAGCCCAGGACTGAAGGTGGTCTTTCAGGCCTCTCTGTCTGGCCTTGGAGGCTCCCATAGGCCATGCCCCCTCTGCTCATCACTCACAGTCCCTGCTCTTCACTCTCGTGTGTCGTCCCCTCCATCACCACCCAACAGGAATAGATCTGTGAAATGCGGCAGTCTGATGTTTGCAAAGCTGAAATGTCGCCTGCTGTACAGAATTAAAAGTCACGTCTGTTGCTCCACCCACCATTGCCACAGGCTCCACCTAATTTTTGCCTCCCACCCCACCCTTTGAGGTCTCAAAGATTGCCCTTGGAGAAATCCACCCCCCAGGCTTAATCCCATACCCCTCCCCAAGTGTCCCAATTTTCCAAGGACAGTCCGGGAATTACAGAAGCTGCCCCGGTTACTCATTTGATCCTGGAATTTCCCAGTTTTCCTCTCCTCCACGTCTCAGAAAAAATTAAAAGTGATCTGTTTGTGTGTGTGTGTGTGTGTGTGTGTGTGTGTAGGTGCACAAAGGGAGTCCTGTTTATCCTGCAAATAAGGTACCTGCACCAAATGAAGGAAATGGTGATGCTGGCATACAAAGCCCTTCCTGTAATTTTGAAGGAAAAGGTCAACTAATCCGCTTTAAATTCTTTAATTGCAATGCTTCAACAGCCAGCTACTCCTTAGGAAACACAGAGAGTGTTGATTCCTTTATTACAAAATGGAGCCTTACACTGTCTACTCAGAAATAGGTCCCACTGAGTTCAATAGGATTTACCGTACTCTCTGGTATGCTCCTGACGGACGCGGGTGGCGCTGTGGGTTAAACCACTTGCCGATCAGAAAGTCGGCAGTTTGAATCCCCGTGACGGGGTGAGTTCCCGTCGTTCGGTCCCTGCTCCTGCCAACCTAGCAGTTTGAAAGCACGAAGTGCAAGTAGATAAATAATTACCACTCCGGCAGGAAGGTAAACAGTGTTTCCGTGCGCTGCTCTGGTTCGCCAGAAGTGGCTTAGTCATGCTGGCCACATGACCTGGAAGCTGTATGCTGGCTCCCTCGGCCAATAAAGAGAGATGAGCGCCGCAACCCCAGAGTCGGTCACGACTGGATCTAATGGTCAGGGGTCCCTTTACCTTTACCCTTTATGCTCCTGAGCATTCTCACAGTTTCCATCATTGTCATCATCATCATCATCATCATCACTATAGCCTTCCATTTTCCCTGACATGAACTGAAAGTAGCTTACAGCTAAAATTTTATTTCATTTTATGTATCTGTGGAAGGTGCTGTACACAATTCCTTCCCTCACATATTCTTTCCTTTACAACAATCTTGTAAGGTAGGCTCGGTGGAGAGGTTGAATTGGCTCAAGGTGACCAGTGTAGTTGGGTATATAACGTCCATGTCTTCAGCGAGATCAAATTCCTGACATCGAATAGCATGTCCTTGTTTTCATTGGAGAAGTATTGGAGGGTAAGGAATCTCCACTCGTGGCTCAGGGAGCCAGGGCGTGTCATGGGGCAAGGTACACTGATATCAGAGGGAATTAGCAATCAGAGAACAGAAGACCAAAGTTTAGAATCAAACAATGTGTGGCTTGTTACAAAAGAGCTAGAATTCAGTGATGGCCAAACTTTGCCCTCTCGCTGTTTTGGGACTACAGTTCCCATCATCCCTGACCACCGGTCCTGTTAGGTAGGGATGATGGGAGTTGTAGTCCCAAAACAGCTGGAGGGCCAAGTTTGGCCATCACTGCGCTAGATTGATTAATATCCCAGGAAGGATTACAGAAATAAAGACTCACTCGGCTGGCAACATTCGAATTGGGCCAGTAACCTTGGCGTTAAATCTAGGAGGCGGCAGAGATGGGAGGCATCTAATGCCACATATGGCGACAATAAGGCACCAGACAGGAATGCATAGAGCTGAATGAGATTGGAGAGAGAAGCTGCATTAGAAACAGTGACTGCTGGCAACTTTCTGGGGAAACTGTGGAGCTGGAAAAGCAGAAAAGTGGAGGAAGAACAAGAAAACCAGAGCACATGCATTCTCTCTCCTAGAGAAGGACTGGGGAATCAGCCCTGGGAAGCCAAATGTGCCTCCCTCCCAAGGCCTCTCTGTCTGGTCCTCAGGGCTCTCCTCAGGCCACCCTCCCCCCCACCTCACCAGCTCGGCTCTGCACCCTCACTGAGTGCTTAAACTAGGGTTCAGCCAACTTTTTCAGCAGGGGTCCTGTCCACTGTCCCTCAGACCTTGTGGGGAGCCGGACTATATTTTGAAAAAATATATATGAATGGATTCCTATGCCCCACAAATAACCCAGAGATGCATTTTAAATAAAAGGACACATTCTATTCATGTAAAAACACGTTGATTCCCAGACTGTGCGCGGGCTGGATTTAGAAGGCGATTGGGCCGGATCCGGCCCCTGACTTAAACTGTGACCATGCCTGTAGCTTGCCTGGATGGAGGATGAAGAGATGTGGGTGTAGAATATCTTATCTTTCACATGACTGGAATGTAGCCCAGGGCACAAGGGAAAGAGTCACATCTATTGCTCCACCCACTTTTGCCCAACACTGGCCTGTGGCCCATGGAAGGTTCCTCATGAGGGAATGAGGTCCTCTGGCTTAGAAAGCTTCCCCACCTGTTTCCTGAAGGGAAAGGGAAAGAAGGAAGCTTCTTCTTCAAAGGGAGACACTTGTAGTCATTGGGGCCAAGTTATGCTAGGTTTCCTTGGAAGATCTGTCACAGGGGAACTGGGGCAAGCCTACAGGTTTATTAAGCTTCCTGCAGGAGAAGACCACCAGAACCTCCTTTTTACCAAGAGGTTGGAAATGGAGGGGCTGTTGAGGTGGCAACAGATCCGCCCTCCAAGGTGTGTGCAATGCATTTATTAGAGACAGAATCTGCTGCCCCTGTGATTCTGCTGCCTGAGGCGGTCACCTCACCTTGTCGCAGGAGTGTGTCAGCCCTGGGTGGCAGTACCTCAGGCACGGGGAACCCTCCCTTCAGGGCTCCAGGATAGCCAAATTATTATGTGTCTGGAATTGTTTAATCGGGTTAGAAGTCAGGCATGGCATTTTCCAGAGTTCTCACAGTTGCTTTGCATACCTAATGAGAGTATCTTGTGGATCAATCTAAATCAGCAAATACAAATGACGATCTTAATCTGGGTGCCTAAGTGTTTACTTTACACTCCTTCTCAGACCTTCTGGAGATTTCTGGAGTCAATCATGCTAGTGATTCAAATGACAGCAAGGCCGAATTTCTTGGTAATGTTGTTGGTAATGAACTCATTCCTGGGGAGGCCCAGCCCCATCTGTCCAAACTTGGGGTGTGTCTCTAGTTCTCAGTGTTCCTGGTGCATTGCTGTGGGGATTGTTCCAGTTCCTAACCTTACAATGAATTCCCTGTACAACAAAAAGGAACATGTCAGGGAGAAAGCTATGCATGACTTCCAGAGGCTTTTCACTTCTAGTGCTAGATCTAGATGATAACATTAATTTGAAACAGGAGTGACCCTCCAATCTAGGAAAAATCAGAACTAAATCCTTTTGAACCCAATGAGATCCCCAGGTCCAAACTGCATATTTCATAGAGTTCCGTACAGCTTCAACTTTTTTAAAAGGAAAGAAGTCATTGGCTACAATTTTGAGTAGAGAAGCAGTATGTCAGGAGGAGGTGCTTAGCCCCTTAATCTGTCAACCATCCCCCCCCCCACTTAAAATTGCTCATCCTCAGCTACTTTTCTCCCTGCAAAGTATGGGTTGATAACCATTTTGTGGACGGGGGCACATTTTGAGAGAGTGCTGGGAGCACCAGTCTTAAAATGGCTGCCATGGGTGTGCGGAAGAACACAGAATGAGGCAGAATTCATTCATACTGAAGTGGGCAGATAAGATTAATCAAAACATAACAGTACAGTGGTACCTGGGGTTACATACGCTTCAGGTTACATATGCTTCAGGTTACACACTCCGCTAACCCAGAAATAGTGCTTCAGGTTAAGAACTTTGCTTCAGGATAAGAACAGAAATCGGGCTCCGGCGGCACGGCAGCAGCAGAAGGCCCCATTAGCTAAAGTGGTGCTTCAAGTTAAGAACAGTTTCAGGTTAAGAACGGACCTCCGGAATGAATTAAGTACTTAGCCCAAGGTACCACTGTAGTTGCTTGCAGACTTGCAATCTAAACAGGGATGACATAAAGGATGACACAGGGATGACACAAAGTTTTAAAAAATTAGCCCAATTTTAAAGTTACATCGTGTCCAGCTGGAGTCCAGACAGTTCAAAGACAGGGGGAGCCAAGTGGAGCTGGTCTCCCATGGAGTGGCCCTGCTTCACATCTTTCTTTCTGCTGCAGCCTGATGGAATGATTACTGCCAGGTGGCTTTTACATTTGCCTGTGGGCTTCTGAGGTCTTGCCTACAATGCGCCTCTTAACTGGTTTCTAGGCTTGCTTAACTGTGCTTGCGAGTAAAGGATCACACGAGGACATATTGATTAACCTGCATGACGCAACTAGTCATGTGATTGTATTAACTATGCATAAAATCAAGACAAAAAGTAGATTAGCCAGAAGTATTGCAGGGGTGGTTGGATAGGTTGCGACAAGATGCCATATGATGAAACTGAAATGTGCACATAGTGACTGCTCCCCAATACAGTGGAGATTGCAGCGCACTGTATTCAAGGCTCCTCCATGTATGATGTTAAGTTGTGGGTGAACATATCAGACGACACAGCGATTCCTCAAACAGCTCTTGTTTATTCACAGACCCAGAACTGAACTGAACCGAAGGCTTCAGCCAGCCTGCTTATATAGAGCTCCAGTACAAGGCAACAGTAACAACTTTCTGTAACTATCCAGTCACTGAATGTCACTTTCAATTCCTTATTTGCATATGTGGACCTGAGTGAAAACTATCTACAGTATCCCCCTGCTGGCCCAGGGTGAGAACTTCAGTACATAACATATGATATTCAATTTCAAGGCGCTGAGGCAGGGTTTGAAAGCCCTTTCCCCCTTTATTCAACTTTTGGAGGACTACATGCCAGTGTTGGCCGGGGCTAGAGGGAAATGTGGGTGATCATATGTGATGGACCTGCCGGAAGGCAAAGGCCTTTTGGAACATGCTATATAATTAAATTAAGGGGGGGGGAATTAAAGTGACTTTTCCCAAGAGACCAGAATTCTTCCTGCTGGCGATACTAGACAGTGAAATTCCAAAGGAAGCCTCAGCGCCAGTATTTATGTATGTGACTACAGTGGCAAGGATTCTCTGAGCTCAGAAATGGAAGGAGGCGAGAACACCCTCAAAGAAAGAAAGGTTGATGAAAATGTTGGAATATGCAGAGCTGGCAAATTGTTCCCTCTTCCATATGACTGTGCCCTTGAGATATTTGAAGATGGCCATCATAGTTCCACTCAGTCTCCTCTTTTCCAGAATACCTTAATGAACTGCAGTGCCCAGCCATCTGTGAGGGAAAGAATATGTTTTGAAAACACAGTGTGTATAAATCACTAGTTGGATACAACCCACCGTAGATAGGGCTATCAAACGGCTATATGCCCCTTTCACTCAGAGGTGTCGGAAGGGGGGTGCGGTGGGTGTGGCACACTGAGGGGTGTGTGTGACAAAATGGCAGGCAAGTGGGCGGCACACCTCATGCCCTGCGGCAGCAGCTCTTCTCCCCCCCCCCTTTTAAAAAAATTATTTAATCATTTTTTCAATACAAACACCACAAAAAAACACATACAACAAAAAGCACAATAACACTAATAACACAATTTAACAATTCAGATTTGACTACTGATATACCTATAACTACACCTTTTTAGCAATATATCCCTACCTCTCCTCCCCCTACTTCCCACCACTGTCCGCCTTATCGCTTAAGTATTCCTTCCAGATTTCTTCATATTTATCCATTCTTAATTTGCATCGACATGCAATTCGTTCAAATGTAGCTAGTCTGTCCATATTGCCAATCTGTGCTCAATGGAATCGTTTTGCGGCTCTTCCAATTCATCAAAACAAGTTTTTTTTGCTTCTAATATGGCACGGTACATCCATTTTTTTTTTTACCCCTTGTAATCCCCCCTTGTAGGGACGCGGGTGGCGCTGTGGGTTAAACTACAGAGCCTAGGACTTGCCGATCAGAAGGTCTGCCGTTCGAATCCCCGCGATGTGGTGAGCTCCCGTTGCTCAGTCCCTGCTCCTGCCAACCTAGCAGTTCGAAAGCTCGTCAAAGTGCAAGTAGATAAATAGGTACCGCTCTGGCGGGAAGGTTAACGGTGTTTCCGTGTACTGCTCTGGTTCACCAGAAGCGGCTTAGTCATGCTGGCCACATGACCCGGAAGCTGTATGTCGGCTCCCTCGGCCAATAAAGCGAGATGAGCGCCGCAACCCCAGAGTCGGTCACGACTGGACCTAATGGTCAGGGGTCCCTTTACCTTTACCTTAATCCACAGTAGCTCCATTGCCGGGTCATGTCTGACCCGGCTGCGGAGAGGAGGAGAGAAAGCAGCAGCTTCCTTGCCCCTCTCCTAACCTGAACTGTGGCACGTGGGAGGGCACCCTCTGCGGCCCACCTCCCTTGGGAGTGTGCCCGCCCTGGGCAGCGTGGGCATATACTTTGCCACTGCTTTCGCTAGCAGAGGCTGCATGTTTCTGAATGCCAGTTGGTGGGGAGCAAGGGTATTGTCCTTGTGGGCTTCTGTGGCGATCACAGACGTCCCCAGACGTTTCACCGTCTATTGATCCCTGTGCCACCACTTTATTTCCCGCTGCCACCACCCAGGCCCTACCTGGTACAATACTGAGTTCAGTCAGGGTTAAACTGGAACATAAACTTTTGTTTATTTATTGCAGTTTGACAAGCGTGTGGTTTCATAAACAGTATCGGTCAATTACAATCATGGGGTGACTGTCCAGACTTATAACTTCCGCTACCTGCTCTCCCTCACTAAACCACCTCTCAGATATTTACTTGTCTTCTTAGCCCCTAACTGTTCCTGACTCAGCTTATTTTGCTACACTCACTCAACCTACTCACAAACTCTAGCCCAATTCACTCCCACTCCAACCAATTAACCACCCAACTCCCTTCGAACTCCCCAACTACCACCAGAGCTGGTTTTATAGTCCCTCTGACTCTACCCACCTGGGTCCTGATTGGGTAACGTGTTTAACTATTTCACCTCCAGCACTCTCATATGTTAACGTCACAGCTTCCTAAGAGGCTTTTGGTTGTCCACTGTTAGGAACAAAATCCTGGATCAGACCGGTCTGCTTCAGTCTGCTCCAATATGCATGCACACAGTGACAACATCCCATGTGTATTCTCCCTTTATTTTCTGTTGCGGCTATGCCATTCTGTTATGGTTGCTAACTGAATACTTTCTTTTGTTCAGTAAACTGCTAATGAATGGATAGTAAAAATGGATTCTACGCACCGTAGTGGTGGCCAAGAGACTGATACTGATGAATTGGAAGAATAGAGATACGATTCCCCTTGATCAATGGCTTGACAACACGACAACACTCGCAACATATGAACGGACAGCTTATAGATGCAGACTTTCTTTGGATAATTACAGTGATATTTGGAATGAGTTTACACAGAATATATTAGGTTATTGACAATTATATGTGCATTAGGGTAATAAGAATATACACATCTGTATATTAATGTATGGTAATGTAACAGTATTTTTCCTTTTTTCCAATCTCACTCACTTCTTTCTTTCTTTCTTTCTTTCTTTCTTTCTTTCTTTCTTTCTTTCTTTCTTTCTTTTTATAAATGAAATTCTTCTGTTAGACTGTTTTTGTATGCCACTACAGCAGCAAGCCTGCTATTAGCCCAAAACTGGAAATCGTAAGAAATACCTACAATAGAAGAATGGCAGATGAAGATGTTGGACTTTTTGGAGCTGGCTGACCTGACTGGAAGAATCCGTGACCAGAAAGAAGAGGAGATATAAGAGGATTGCAAGAAATTTAAAGAATACTTAGCTAAATATTGTGATATAAGATAAATAGAAAATTATTGGAAGTAATAAATAGGCTTAGGGGTAGAATAAGAATATGTGGTAGTAAACATTAAGGATCAGAATATTAATAAAGGAGAAGAGATTAGTAAATGAAAGGAATCTAATTATATTAATTAGAAATATGACTTTGGAGAACTGTTATATAGGTGATATAACGAAATTCAGTTAGAGGGGATTTGAGGAAGTCAGTTAGCAATGTAATGAGAATTAGGGATTTGAAGAAATAATATTTCTTTATGTTTAGTTTATTGTTGTAATGTGTTTTTGTTTTTTTCTTTGTTGTGTGTTTTGTTACATTACAGTGGTGCCTCTCAAGACGAAATTAATCCGTTCCGCGAGTCTCTTCGTCTTGCGGTTTTTTCGTCTTGCGAAGCACGGCTATTAGCGGCTTAGCGGCTTAGCGGCTATTAACGGCTTAGCGGCTTAGCGGCTTTAAGAAAAAGGAAACAAACTCGCAAGAACTTGCAAGACGTTTCGTCTTGCGAAGCAAGCCCATAGGGAAATTCGTCTTGCGGAACGACTCAAAAAACGGAAAACTCTTTCGTCTTGCGCGGCATTCGTCTTGCGAGGCATTCGTCTTGCGAGGTACCACTGTATTTTGTGACAAATCTTGAAAATCAATAAAAAAATTTGATTGAAATATAAATGAAATACAAAAAATTGCCCTTTCCTGACATTGTGCCTGCATGCATCTGATTTTTTATTATCATATGATATATCATGGTTTCTAGGTTGGGTGGCAGGGAGAGGAGAACAAAGAATCTTGTGCCACCTTAACAACTAAGGTCATATCCTCACTATATATTTTAAACACTCTCATATCACTTTCTTTAACAGCCATGACTTTCCCCAAATAATCATGGCAACTGTAGTTTACCCCTTGCATGGCTGCAATTCCCAGCACCACCTTTAACAAATGACAATTCCCAGGATTCTTTAGGGGGAGAAGCCATAACTGTTTAAGTGGTATAAGAGTGCCTTAAATGTATGGAGTTGGTGTGACCTAACATTGTGGCATAAGCTCTTGTGGACTAATGTCAACGTCATCTGATGTATGAAGTCAGGTCAGAGGGAAGTAAATAATAATAATAATAATAATAATAATAATAATAATAATACCTTGCCCATCTGGCTGGGTATCCCCAGCCACTGGGAGGCTTATAGAATATATAAAACATAATAAAGCATCAAACATAAAAAAACACTTCCCGATAAAGAGCTGCCTTCAGATGTCTTCTAAAAGTTTTATAGCTCTTTATCTCCTTGACATCTGAAGGGAGGGTGTTCCTCAGGGAGAATGCCACCACCGAGAAGGCCCTTTGCCTGGTTTCCTGTAACTTTGCTTCTCGCAGTGAGGGAACTGCCAGAAGGCCTTCAGAGCTGAACCTCAGTGTCTGGGCTGAGCGATGGGGGTGAAGATGCTCCTTCAGGTATACTGGGCCGAGGCTGTTTAGGGCTTTAAAGGCCAGCATCAATACTTTGAAATGTGCTCGGAAACGTACTGGGAGCCAATGCAGGTCTTTCAAAACCGGTGTTATGTGGTCTCGGCGCCCATTCCCAGTCACCAGTCTAGCTGCCGCATTCTGGATTAGTTGTACTGTAGTTTCCGGGTCATCTTCAAAGGTAGCCCCATGTAGAACACATTGTAGTAGTCCAAGCAGGAGATAACCAGGGCATGCACCACTCTGGTGAGACATTCTGTGGGCAGGTAGAGTCTCAGCCAGAGTGCCGATGGAGCTGGTAGACAGCTGCCCTGGACACAGAATTGACCTGTACCTCCATGGACAGTTGTGAGTCCAAAATGACTCCCAGGCTGTGCACCTGGTCCTTCAAGGGCACAGTTACCCATTCAGGACCAGGGAGTCCACCGCACCTCCCCGTTCCCTGTCCCCCCACAACAGTACTTCTGTCTTGTCAGGATTCAGCCTCAGTCTGTTAGCTGCCATCCATCCTCCAACTGCCTCCAGACACTCACACAGGACTTGCACTTCCTTCACTGGTTCTGATTTAAAGGAGAGGTAGAGCTGGGTATCATCTGCATACAGATGAACACCCAGCCTAAACCTCCTGATGATCTCTCCCAGAGGCTTCATATAGATGTTGAAAAGCATTAGGGAGAAGATGGAGCCCTGAGGCACCCCACAAGTGAGAGCCCAGAGATCTGAATACTCATCCCCCAACACCACTTTCTGGACAGGGCCCAGGAGAAAGGAGCAGACCACTGCACAACAGTGCCCCCAGCTCCCAACTCCTCTAGACGGTTCAGAAGGGTGTTATGGTCGATGGTGTCAAAGGCCGCTGAGAGATCCAGCAGGACCAGGAAACAGCTTCCACCTATCCCTAGCCCACCAAAGATGATCGACCAGCACCACCAAGGCAGTTTCAGTCCCATGATGAAACCCCCCTATAGAGCAGACAGTTTATAATTAACATGCCTTTCCATTTTGCTAGACACAGAGAGGGAGACTGACTTGGCTTGCCCGCATTCATACTTCCAAAAATTCCTCCACCTTTGCTTCAGTCATGAGTCACATGATTGCCATAAGTGGCACAGATACCTCCTATTTATTAAGTAGAGCATTTTTTTTAAAAAAGTCACAGGACTCAGTAATCTTTGCATGCTCACACATCTCCACATCATGCCTTTACTTGCCAGAGCAAGTGTCTGAAATAAGTGGTGAGTGACAGCCAGGCCTTTCAGTGATTGCCAGCAAAGGGTAATAGAGCTCAGGTTTTGGGCAAGGCAAAGAGGAGCTCAAGCAACAAGGGAGTGACATGTACTGGTCCTGCACAATTATCTATCCCAAATCCGTCAGAGGGCCGGCCCAATACATTTTGACACCTGAGGCAAATGACAAAATGGTGCCCCCTTCCTTGCCAGGGAAGAAGGAATGAGTGAAAATTGACACCAGGAACAAGGGAGGAATAAAGATATATATTGGGATCTGCTGTCCCTGGGGATCCTGCCACCAGAGGCGGTCACCTTGCCTTACTTCATGTGTGGGCTGGCCCTGCCTAGTTATCTGATCAAAAGCTTTCTTAGCTTCTTCTTGCACTTTGACCTTCCTAGAAGTGTTCCGTGCACAACATTATAATTTCACAGTTCAGCAGTGACACCCCAGATGTAGCTGGACTAAAACTCCCATCGTTACTGACCACTTTTCAGAAGTCGGTTGTTGGGATACAACATGGAGATCTGCTGTGTAATGGTAGGGAGACATCCTTAAATGGACCACTGGGGATGCTCAGGCTCTTGGACATGCCTCAGGTAGCACCACTTTGGGTCCTAGCCTGATGGGGACAGAGTCCCATCTCCTAGGTGTGACTGGGGAAGTGTGTGTGTGTGTGTGACAGACACCTGTTTGTGCATGCAGTTGTTCATCCACCAAGAGGCATGCAGGCAGAGGCGTGCCGAGTCATGCTTCTGTTTATCTACGGGCCTCTACCTGGCTTGGGGTGCCCGCTCTCTTTAATTCCACAATAATATACAATGAAAATGAAATGTGTGTGTGTGCATAAATTAGAACTTAGTCACAGGCAATTTGTATTTGTAAGATATTTATTAAGGTTTTTTGAAATATTACAGTAAAAATGAAAAAGAAAAGAGAAAAATACAAAATAAAAACAGTTAAAAACACACATATTCTCAGTTACTTATTTTCCTTTAGCTTGTTTCCCGGACCTCCTCGTACCTCCCTTTTTTGTATTCCACTTCAATTTATTGGTTCAGCAAATCCTTACCATTAGATTTTAACCCATTTATAACCCTTTTTTTCATATTCTCTTAAAGCATTACAGCTAGAAACCGCTTAATTACTATCCAACATCCTTCTATCATTCATTAATTTTACAATATTTCTGTAAATAGTCTTTAAATTTCTTCCAATCTTCTTCCACCGACTCTTCCCCCTGGTCTCGGATTCTGCCAGTCATTTCTGCCAATTCCATATAGTCCATGTATTTGGATCAAATTAAAAATGTCCCATCACAGCATTCTATCAGGAGAGAAAAGCTGCGCTCAAACTTGCCAAGTGAGAGTATTCCAGGGACAGGGATATGCTTCTGTCCTCTGTCCTGGGAATTACCCATTCCTTCTGATCAGTTTCAGCTCAGGTCTGTTTCACAGCTTGTAGAGGAGGAGCAGGAGGAGGAGGAAGCAACAGTAGTACAGTGGTACCTTGGGTTACATACGCTTCAGGTTACAGACGCTTCAGGTTACAGACTCTGCTAACCTAGAAATAGTACCTTGGGTTAAGAACTTTGCTTCAGGATGAGAACAGAAATCGTGCTCTGGTGGCATGGTGGCAGCGGGAGGCCCCATTAGCTAAAGTGGTGCTTCAGGTTAAGAACAGTTTCAGGTTAAGAACGGACCCCCAGAATGAATTAAGTACTTAACCCGAGGTACCACTGTATGTAATTCTCAAATTTCCTTTGCATGGTTGAACCTTCAACAAAGATAAGAGAATCATTGAATTGTTACAGTTTGAAGGGGCCACAAGGGTCATCTAGTCCAACCCCCTGCTATGGAGGATTTTTTTTTGCCCAATGTAGGGCACAAACCCACCACCCTGAGATTAAGAGTCTCATGGTCTACCCACTGAACTGCAAGGATTTGTTTCAGTATAATTTGGAATTCATTGCTGTCCCACAAGCAGTGCTTAGCAGCTGACAGTATCTGTCAGCAAACATGCAGCAGCAGTCAGCATTTTATTTTAATTATTTAAATGATTTGTCTGTAGTCTTTTTTTGAGCAAATTTGACTTCAAAATCTCAAGACAGCTCACATGCGGGGAGGGAGCAATAAATTCCACAAGTTTAAATAACAATAAAAATCAAAACAATGAAGCAGCAGCAACAACATTAAGTAAAAACCATTTAACATTAATCGCCATGCACTGCCGTAGACTATAGTAGATTTTATATCCATTCATTTCAGGTTAGCCCATCAAGACAGGTGATTTGCAATGTCAACTTTCAATTCCAGAATTCAAATGGCAAGTTTTGGGGGTCAAATTTGGAGGTCAAAATCTGACTGTGAAAACATTACAGAATGTTGAGTCATCCTTAAAGGGACCCCTGACCATTAGGTCCAGTCGTGGACAACTCTGGGGTTGTGGCGCTCATCTCGCTTTATTGAGGGAGCCTGCGTACAGCTTCCGGGTCATGTGGCCAGCATGACTAAGCCGCTTCTGGTCATCCTTAGAAGAGGCAAAAGCGAGAAGGGGTGTAGCCTATTGGTAGAGCATCTGCTGCATGTAGACGGTCTGAGTTCTAATCCATAGCATCTCCAGGTAGGGCTGGGAGATACTTCTGTCTGAAACCCAGAAGAGTCACTGCCAGTATGTGTAGACAATGCTGCACTACATGGACCAATGGCACCTTCCTATGTTCCTAAATCTATGGACAGGAGTAGCCAACATGGTACCCTTCATACATTGCTGGGCCTCAGGTCTTATCTTCCCTGACCTTTGGCCATGCTGACTGGGGCTGATGAAAGCTGAAGTTCAACAACATCTACAATGGCTTGGGTCCAAAGGTGTCTTGCATGAGTGGAAAGGTGCTTTCATAAGGCTGACTTTCTTCATTCTTCCCATTTCCCCATCCCACTGCTTCTCATATGCCCCTCCCCACAGTGTTCCAGAGGTTCCCTTGACCCTCAAAGAGCAGCATTTGAGAGATGCTGGGAGCTGTAAAGCAGGGGTAAGCCAGAAAAGCCCCATTGTGGAGCACTTCTCTGGATTCAACTCATTATTTGCTCTTCGCCATATTTGTCCTTTTGCACTTTGAAAAGTTGCATCAAGGAAGCTTTTCTGTGCTTTCTGGCCAGCTCTTACCGGTGCCATGGTTAGGCTTCCTCGTACCGCAGGGCATTAGAGTAAGGTTACCAGACGGCATTAGAGTAAGGTTACCAGACGGCATTAGAGTAAGGTTACCAGACGTCCCCGTTTCATGGGGACAGTCCCCGGATTTACAAATTAGTCCACATTCAAAATCCTATCATTCCTATTGATTCATTGAAAAAAATCTGGTAACCTTACATTAGAGGACTCACCTTGATGACAGTCATGTAAACAGAAGATGCTCCACTTATTTAGAACCACATCAGAGTTCTAAGTCCATGCACCCTTCAGATGCTGTTAGACTCCCATCAGTCCCAGTGAACATGGCAATGGTCATGGAAGATGGGAGTTATAGTCCCAACAGCCCTTGGAGAGCACTGCACTAGCTAGCCCTGTTCTAGAATTGGATTGCCTAGTGAGATCATAGAGTGTACACAACCACGACATGGTAAGAGAACATGTCGTCATATTCAGAAGTGTCCCAAGGAAATTCCAAGGTGATCCAGGGAGTTTCAAAGGCTACAAAGAACAGGGACAGAGCAGACTGGAAAGTTCATAGATACTAGCATAATGCAGCCCAAGTCCCACATCCATGGAGGCCAATGTGATGCCCCTCACCCTGATGCTTTCAAACTGTAGCTCCCATCAGTCCCAGCCAACACGACCAATGGTCAGGGATGATGTAAATTGCAGCCCAACAACACTTGAAGGAGCATCTCTACCCCCATCGTTCAGCCCGGACACTGAGGTCCACCACCAAGGGTCTTCTGGTGGTTCCCTCACTGCGAGAAGGGAAGTTACAGGGAACCAGGCAGAGGGCCTTCTTGGTAGTGGCACCCGGTCTGTGGAACGCCCTCGCATCATATGTCAAAGAAATAAACAACCATCTGACGTTTAGCCGACATCTGAAGGCAGCCCTGTTTAGGGAGGTTTTTAATGACTGATGTTTTAATGTATTTTTAATCTTTTGTTGGAAGCTGCCCAGAGTGGCTGGGGAAAGCCAGCTGGATGGGCGGGGTATAAATAAATTGATGATGATGATGATAATAATAATAATAATAATAATAATAATAATAATAATAATATCATCATCATTATTATCCTTGCTCTAGATTGTAAAACACCGTTTGGCATGCATGGCCATGCACAAAAATGGAGCCTCCTGCAGCAGTTTTTTGGGTTCTCAAATTTCAGTGGCGCCTTGCATGATGCTAAAATTAAGTACCCCCCACTTTTCGCGCTCTGTTCTGCAGCACTGTTGTGGCACCCCCTGCAGCATGGCTGCACGGGTCGTGCTGCCCTAAAACTCCCTCGGGCTGCAGGTATGGATTACAGTGGTACCTCGGGTTAAGTACTTAATTCGTTCTGGAGGTCCGTTCTTAACCTGAAGCACCACTTTAGCTAATGGGGCCTCCTGCTGTCGCCGTGCCGCCACAGCCCGATTTCTGTTCTCAACCTGAAGCAAAGATCTCAACATGAGGTAATATTCCTGGGTTAGCGGAGCCTGTAACCTGAAGCGTATGTAACCCGAGGTACCACTGTATATGCTTTCCTCTGTGGCAGACACACAGCCACTGCACTCCATTACAGCCATCCTCCCTTGTGTGGCAGCTGCCAGTCCTGAATCATGAGCTGAGAGAAGAGATCCCTTCCGCCCTTGTCTTCACCACAGGATGCAAGGCGGGACATGACAAATACTTCGGATAGCACAGAAATATCTCCCCTTTAATTGAGCTTCTAAGTCAAGACAAACTCAGCAAGCATCTGGTGTTCTAATTAATTCCTACTCATTCACGTTGAATGGCCTTAACTCAAGAGTTGCTGGATGGAAAGAGCACTGATGATTGATCAGTGCAGAAAAGGGGCTTCCTTTTCTTTTTCTTTAAAATATGTATATTATGAATCAAGAGCGTGAATGGCAGTAGATGGGCCATGATCAAGATATTTCTTTTCCCAAAGCTTCCTCCGTCAGCTTTTTTCATTTGCTACCTATCACTTGCCACCACATATATATGCATCTCCCACTCTCTTTACTGCTAAGGATATTTGCATGAAACCCATTTCCTGCTGTTCCCCCCTTCCCGCTCCAAGTCATAATCCACTGTTTGTGATATTATCGTTTCCACGGCAACTGCTTGAGATGCCACAGAGGGCTGTGAGGGCTTCAGATAGGAGGTTGGATAGATGCAGCTGGTGAGAAAGAAAGAAAGAAAGAAAGAAAGAAAGCCATAGAAAAGTCATATTTTTCAGCAGTGATGATTGCCATGCTTTCTGACACAGAAAGAGTAGAAAAGGTGGAATGAGGTATGCATATGTTCCTATGTCATTGTCTTATCAAATAGCAGAGAAGTATTGTATGTGTTTTATCTGGAATGCTTTTTTAAAAAAGGCAAGGAGAGATTTGTACTTAGCACCAAGGAAAGGTAGAAATAGAGCCAATGGATGCATCCTTCTGTGGCAGGTTTAGACAGCTCTCCCATAACATACCCTACAAGTGTCCCAGGAAAAAAAAGGGAATATCCCATTTCCCCCCGTGAGAGGACTGTGGCCATTTTGGGCACTGTGATATCACTCAATTTTGTGCCATGATTTCGTCCTGAAAAAGGAGTGCTTTTAAGGTGCAGGGAGAGCTCAGGGGGCGGGGGTACAGGAGAGGATTTCATTCAAAATGGTCAGATGTGGAATTGGAGAGGAAATAGCTTCTGATCTGATACCACAGATCAGGGGTGGGGGGAAATCCTGGATTAAGGTTGGCCCCATTGGGCCAGATTGCGATCTGTCTCCAACCCCATGAACCAACTGTGACTGATTGGTGGGTCAACCAATCTGTCAGTCACCCGACATTATGACGACAGATCGAAAAAATGGCTTGACCCACCCGTATTTCAAAGCCCCTTGCACAGCACGAAGGGCCAGATCATGAAGGTTCAGTCCTGCTTTCTGCAATGTGCTCATGTGGAGAGTGGGAACAGGAAGAAGATACAGCATCTACTTCTCCTGCCCCCTTCCTACCCACAAACTGATTAAACATGCAGTTGGAAGGGGATAAGGGACATGGGCATAGTCAGGATTTTTGTTGGGCAGGGAGGACTTTGTCGGGGGGCAGAACCGACGTGATTGGTCAGTTAGTTAAGTATTTCTATTGTTTTACTTGATCTGAGTGGGGCAGCTACCCCCTGCCCCCTGGCTATGCCCATAATAAGGGATAGGATACACTACTTCTCTCACTTCCTGTCCACATGTTTAATAGGGATGTCTTCAGCCTCGTATATCCAACTGGCTTAACTCAACTCAACTCTTTGTTGAGCCAGCATGGTGTTGTGGTTAAGAGCGGTGGACTCGTAATCTGGTGAACCGGGTTTGCTTCCCCGCTCCTCCACATGCAGCTGCTGGGTGACCTTGGGCCAGTCACACTTCTCTGAAGTCTCTCAGCCTCACTCACCTCACAGAGTGTTTGTTGTGGGGGAGGAAGGGAAAGGAGATTGTTAGCTGCTTTGAGGCTCCTTAAGGGGAGTGAAAGGTGGGATATCAAGTCCAAACTCCTCCTCCTCCTCCTCCTCCTCCTCCTCTTCTTCTTCTTCTTCTTCTTCTTTGTTCTCTCTCTTTTTCTACCATGTGAACCTGACCAGTAAGGATGTCTAAGCTGGCTGCTCCAAGCTCAGATCGCATGGCTGTAGCAAGCTGTTTTTGTGTTTCTATGCAAATAATTTAGAAACTCTAACCATTTTGAAACTAAATCAAACTTCCAGTCTTTTCTTGCTGCTGTATGGAAAAGCACCTGAATCTGACCTTTGAAGAATTTGTAAGTAAACTATTTTTAACTTACCAAATGTGTGGTCTCCTTCTGTGCTAAGGGAAATGGCGAACGTTGGAAGAAACGTAGAAGGTGATATTTTAAAGATCTAACAGCCTTTTCAGTGATGGCTCCGACCTGGTGGAATGCTCTGTCCCATGAGACCAGGGCCCTGCAGGATTTAACTTCCTTCTGCAGGGCCTGTAAGACAGAGCTATTCTGCCTAGCTTTCAATTTGAACTTAGCCTGATCTTTTATTCCCCTTCCTTTCCTTTCCCTCCCCTCCCCTTTTTATGAAGATTACCCGCTCTGGGATCCCACAGCTAATTCTCCCCTGGTCTCCTCGCTGGCCCAAATAGGACTAATTTAGCCAGCTAGCCCTGGTGATCATCTAATGTTTATTGGGTGGATTTTCCCCCTAAATTGATTTTTGAATTCTGAATTTATTATACACGTTTGATACTGTATTTTGTGCTGTTTTTTGTTGCATCAATTAAGTGTTTTAAATTTGTTGTTAGCCGCCCTGAGCCCGGTTTTCTGAACTGGGAAGGGCGGGGTATAAATAAAAATTTATATTTATATGTCCATGCTTTACTTTGCTGCACGCTTTGTGATTTTAAATCTCTGTAGAAATCATGGTTTTTGTATTTGTACTTTTTATCAATTGTATACTTTAAAAGGGGATCAGAGAAATTCATGGCGAGAAAGACTACCAGGGGCTATTAGTCATGGCAGCTATGCTCCAACCTCCTCGGTCAGAATCTTCACCAATTGCTGGAACCCACAGGATAGGAGAACGTTCTGTCCTGCTTGCAGGCTTTCCATAGGGGCAACTGGCTAGCTACCATGAGAACAGACTATTGAACTAAATGTTCTTCTGTTCTGGTTTTGTGATCATGCTGTACACTGCTCTGGGAACTTTAGCAAGTAAGTAATAAACTTGATCATATAGAATACAGGATAAAATCCCATCCCCTTGTGCAAAGGGTGGAGACTGAGAACTGGCACCAGTGTTGTGGAATGTCTTCCCTGCTGAAATATGAGAGGCCCCATCAGTGTTGGCATTCCGCCGACTCCTGAAGGCACACCTGTTTCGGCAAGACTTCCCCTGAACTGAACTTGTGGTTTTATTGTCTTAACTGTTTTTCATTTAAATTATTATGCTTCTTAATAGTTTGTTTTGCTGTTTATCTTAATTCAGGACACTTTAATGCCTGAACACATTTGCTATTGTGTATTTTAATTAGGGATACATTTCATAGTTGCAAATCACTTAGATGCCAGTTTGGCATACTTTATATGCCATTGTCAAGGCAGCAGTTGGGTGCAGGGCAACAATAATATACAAGGTGCCGCTGAAGTCAACTCTTTATCCATAGAAATGAAGCACCTCAGAACTAGTGAGCACAGCAACTGCCCCAATGAGGCAGTTGT